CTGCCTCAGCCTCCTGAGTAGCTGGGACTACAAGCATGCGCCACCATGCCCAGCTAATTTTTTCTATATATTTTTTAGTTGTCCAATTAATTTTTTTGTATTTTCTTTTTTTAGTAGAGACGGGGTCTTGCTCTTGCTCAGGTTGGTTTCGAACTCCTGAGCTCAAACAATCCTCTCGCCTCAGCCTCCCAGAGTGCTAGGATTACAGGCGTGAGCCACCACGCCCGGCCTCTTTCGATCCATTTCTTTATTATGGTTTATATAACTGAAAATGAAGTCACATTTTTATTTTAAATTTTCTTTTCCCACATCATTCTATAACAATGTGGGAAAACCCTTATCATATGGTTTTCTGAAAAGTTACTGCTAGATTAAGGACCCAGATCTAGATATCATAAGAGAGTGATAGTTCTCAAGTGAAGTGATAAGGTTAAGGAGGAAGGAGAGAAGAAAATTTCAAGATCATCTGGAAAACTTCAACAAATTACATGTGCTCCAGGGAGGTGACCTGGCATGTGAGTTTGAAAAATCACCCCGGAGATTCCAATTTCCTTAGGAACCCCTTACAGAAATAGTGACCAACAAAAAAATGGATAAAATGCTAAAAAAAAGATTTTTTTCCATGGTCCTTCCCCTGTATAAATACCTCATGGAAACTGAATATATACGTTATAGTATGTTTGCATTATATCTGCAATAGAGAAACAATGATGCTAAAGGTATCATTGGTTCTAAATAGTGATGGTGAATGTCAGAACAAAGACTCTATTTTAAAAAGTCATAAACCATTGGTTGAATAATGCCTGAATGGAATGCTACAGATCTTAATACTTGAACATAAGGATTACATCCCAAAAAGAAAACTAAAACCAAAACAACAAAACTCTTCTGGGATGTCTGGAAATATCTGGATTAGGAAATTATAAAATAAATAAGGACAGATGAAAGGAGCTGGTATATAAATTTAAGTGACATGAACATTTTTAATAAGTCTTTCTGAATATAAATCAAACCCAAATTTGAGAAATTTTGCAATGACCTACCTTTTTAAAATTAACTTAATAATTTCACTTGCCTAGATCTAAAAGGAAATGTCAAACATTTCTTTGCAAATGCCTAGTTATGCAAATTATGACCGACTGCTGACTCTCCCCAGCTATAAGGCTTTGGACATGCTTCACCACTCTTCCTGTTTCCTCATCAGTAAAGGGTGGGATTGGGCAAGATATGGACCAAGACACTTCTAGCTCTGACACTCCCTGATTCCATAAATACTACCTTCTCCTCATTCTATCATCTTTAATCTATGGGACAGCTTGAGTAGTCACACTGTTTAAAATATACCCTCCTTTGTATGTGATACTGCTGTTATTAAATCACATTCTGTAGAAAACAACAAGCATTTTGAACTTTGAGTTAGCTTTGCAGCAGCGACAATATATTTACACAAAATTTTCCACATTTTTTTTTTTTGCCCAAATTTCTGTAAGATAGGAAAGGAAAGGAGGATGAGATAGAATCTGCATGATTTCTCTTTAGGGTTAACAGGCCCACGAAGAAAACAGACCTATAACCTTACCTTCATTTCACTGTACTTGAAAGCAGTGGTTTCTAAACATTTTTATTGCATACATCATAAAATAATTTTTGTGTATATGCCTAAATATATGTAAGTTTATTTATAAATTATAAATGTATTCTTGTAATAACATTGTTATAGGTCGCACGCGGTGGCTTATGCTTGTAATCCTAGCACTCTGGGAGGCCCAGGCGGGAGGATTGCTCGAGGTCAGGAGTTCGAAACCAGCCTGAGCAAGAGTGAGACCCCATCTCTACTAAAAATAGAAAGAAATTAACCAGACAACTAAAAATATATAGAAAAAATTAGCTGGGCATGGTGGCACATGCCTGTAATCCCAGCTACTTGGGAGGCTGAGGAAGTAGGATTGCTTGAGCCCAGGAGTTTGAGGTTGCTGTGAGCTAGGCTGATGCCATGGCACTCGAGCATGGGCAACAGAGAGAGACTCTGTCTCAAAAAAAAAAAATACCGAAAAAAGAAAAAAACATTGTTATAATGTACATATAAAGTAAAAAGATATTAATATAATACATACAAAACTTCTAATATTTTCCATTCCCTAAAGCATCACCTTGCACACCCTATGCTTCATACCACTGCTCTAAACAGCCACCCAGATACTAAGCATTCTACAGTACACGCTGAGGTACCCACGGCCTTTTCTAGCAACGGCCTTTCAAAGACCATACCTAACTTCCACATAAGCATACATTCACCAATAATTCCACTTCTAGGAATCTATCTTAAGGAAATAATCAGAAGATAAGGTCAAAGATTCATGTGCAAGGATGTTCATTTTGGAGTTATATAGGGAGAACTGAAATAAATGTCCAACAATAGTAGAAAAGAATCATTTTTTAAAATTAAGTAGAATATGTATAGCTATTAAAATTATGTCCTCAAGAATGTTTAATAAGATCATATTCTGAATATTTAAATTTTACTACATCAAGTGAAACATAAATATACAAAATCTTTATTTTGTCAAATAATGTTTACATATATATATAAATGAATATATATGGTAATTGCAGAGAATATGAACAATGGATATACGTAGGTGGTATACTAGGGAATTTTTATTTTCTTCCACATACTTTTCTGTGTTTCTCTAATTTTCTGCATTGATTTCTATATATTATTGATTTTATAATCAGGAAAAAAACTTGAAATGTTATTTGAAGAAAATCCTATACATTTAAACACCCAGTACATTTTCTGTGCTTGCAATTCATTGAGGCTGAAAAAAGATAAGTCTTATTCATATAAGCATTAGTCTTTTTCTGAGTACACAAGTCACCAGTTTAGATAAACAAACCATTATACTGAGGACCTATGTGGAGTAAACTAGTTACTGAAGCCCAGGACTGCGCTCAAAGCAAAAAAGAAAGTCTGTGGTTACTCAATGAAACCACTAGGTGCCACTGTTGCTTCATAGAGAAGAGTAAAATACTGTTTTTTTTGTTTGTTTGTTTTTGTTTTTTTTTAAATTAAGAATAGATACATGTGGCCGGGCATGGTGGCTCACGCCTGTAATCCTAGCACTCTGGGAGGCCGAGGCGGGTGGATCCCTCAAGGTCAGGAGTTCGAGACCAGCCTGAGCAAGAGCGAGACCCCCATCTCTACTAAAAAATAGAAAGAAATGATCTGGACAACTAAAAATATATATATATATAGAAAAAATTAGCCAGGCATAGTGGCACATGCCTGTAGTCCCAGCTACTCGGGAGGCTGAGGCAGAAGGATTGCTTGAGTCCAGGAGTTTGAGGTTGCTGTGAGCTAGGCTGACGTCATGGCACTCGAGCATGGGCAACAGAGAGAGACTCTGTCTCAAAAAAAAAAAAAAAAAAAGAATAGATACATGCTTTCACTCTTGGATAATAATAAAGTCTTCTTAGAAACCATAATAATCATTTTAATAATTTTATGCTCATATCACAAAAAGTCAATTGGAATAGATATTAAAGAATAGCTCCCATCAATTCCTATATATGAACCAATGGGGTTGGAATTGAGAAGAGAGAACATATTATATCAAGAAATAGATTCAGGTTGGGCGCGGTGGCTCACGCCTGTAATCCTAACTCTCTGGGAGGCCGAGGCGGGCGGATTGTTTGAGCTCAGGAGTTTGAAACCAGCCTGAGCAAGAGCGAGACCCCGTCTCTACTAAAAATAGAAAGAAATTAATTGGACAACTAAAAATATATAGAAAAAAAAAGAAATAGATTCAGGCCATAAAAACTGACTTTATGTTGTGAAATACCCTACTAATACTAAAAATTTGCTACTGTGTACCACTGTTTCTGTGAAAAATGTATTTTTCATTGCAACTCTGAGGCAGGGATGCATGTCTCTACTCTGATGGCTACTTTCAACTGTAAGATCTTGGCAAGTTATTTAACTTTTCCATCTATAGAATACAATTAAAGAATGAATAGCATCATATACATAAAAAGGGTTAGACAATTAATTGCTTCTCTGTAGGAGTAAAAAGCTTCCAACTTCTTTGGCTGCTGAGACCACATCTAAATAAGACAGGGAATCTTTGTTCCAGTGATAAAAAAGATGTCAGCTTTGGTGTCTCAGGACGTGTCTTTGGACCCACGGCTACTTCAGGGTCTGTCAGCTGGGCACGGTGGCTCACGTCTGTAATCCTAGCACTCTGGGAGGCTCAGGTGGGAGGATCACTTGAGCCCAGGAGTTTAAGACCAGCTTGAGCAAGAGCGAGACCCAAGTCTCTACTAAAAATAGAAAAATTAGCTGGGTGTGGTGGCACACGCCTGTAATCCCAGCTACTCAGGAGGCTGAGGCAGGAGAATCGCTTGAGCCCAGGAGTTTAGGTTGTTGTGACCTAGGCTGATGCCACAGCACTCTAGCCTAGGTGACAGAGTGAGACTCAGTCTCAAAAAATATAAACAAACAAATAATTCAGGGTCTGTCATCTATGAAGATTAGACCACGACAATTCACTATATCCACTGGCACTTATGTTTCTCATCTTTGAAGGAAGGAGGTTGGATCAAATGGCCCTTAAATCTCCTCCAGCCAAAAACCCTATGGTTCTGTAAAACTTGTACCACAAAGGGTATTATTCTATTTTTGAATAATATACTATACTGACAAGATTTTGCAGAAATTAAAGTTGGGGGACAAAGGGTTACACCATGGATGCCATCATTCAACCATTTGAGCTCTTCAATGTACCAGACATGGTGCTAGACTCTGAGGATATAAAATGATATCATCTCTTTCTTCAAGGAGTTTACAGTCAAACTGAGAAACAAATACAAATAAATCATGACAATGCAACAGGATGAAGGTATGGACTATGTTATATATAAGGAGCTGTGGCGATAAATGATAAGGTAGACACTTGTCTTCAATATGCTGCTAGGCAGTCAGTTTCATGGAATTCAGAATAACTCTGAGTGACTTTTCTGATTTGCCTAGAGCTATTTTCAAGATGAGAAACTTTCTGGACTATCTTTCTGTGGCTATATCTACTTTTGCCTCAGAGAGACTTAGGCAAGGTATTTTCTGAAGTACACATTCCTGGGTTTTATAACCTATATGAAAATAAGAAGTGAATTGCCTGTTGCATAGCAGAAGAGATTCTACTGCCATTTATCATAGATATTCACACTCAATTTCAGTCCCATTATCTTTCTAAATTCCCTCTCCTCAGTGTTTTTCACTAGCCCTTTCCTCTTCTCTGCAAAATGCTATGCTTAGCTTTTCTAAATCTTTCTCAACTGGGTCAGCAACTCTAAACCCCCCACTACCTCTGTGCTCTTGCCAATATGCCTTCATTGATCTGAGACTTCCAAACCAGGGCATTAAGGGTCTGGAAAAGAAATGAAAGAGCAAATGCCAACCTTTGCCACCTAGCACTTTCAAAGGCTACCGAATCCCCATCTGCTTACCAGGCTCTCAGTAGTAAGCTCCGGCAAATCCTGGATGGTACAGCAAGGGTAATCCAGGACTGAGATGCTGCAAGATGCGGAGATAAGGACACGCTTTAGGTAAATGGCAAGAGCAGGAAAATGGCTGTATCTGAAAAGGGCAGGAGTTATTTCTCTCCAGCAGGCCCCATCCATTTCTCAAATTCCTTAGTGACCTCAGCTTAAATTGAGGGCTCTAGTGCTGGGCAACTCCAGCTCCAGTCTCCTCTCCTCACAGTCATGAGAGGAACCCATGAGTTCTTTCAGGCTAACACTATCTGGCAGATGCAAAAGAGTTAGGGCACAAAGAGAGCCTCTTTTCTTCGCTCTCCTTGCTTCTTTAAAGGAATATATAAACTTGAGTGCATTTGTGTTTCTGCATTTAAGTATATGTGTGAATATAACTGCTTCCAGAGATGCTGCCCAAACGCAACCACTTAATAACCATTTGATGATGTGAGCATGTAACAAAGACCTCTCCTGTGTCTCTCAACAGATCCTTCTGAAAGCCAGAGCTCTCAGGAATGATCACAGAAGCCACTCCTAAAGGAAGCTTGAGATAGATGTAGCTTCCTGCAGCAGGGCCAATCTAGTAGCTCAAGAATGGTAATAGCATCTGTCCCCAAAGCCAACAGTGAGGGACTACAAGGGAGCTGCAGGCTCTGTGGCGAGCCCAGGGAAGTAGGCATGAGTCAGGAGGGGAAAGAAGGCACTGCCTGATGACAGGGCCACAGTCACACAAAAAATGACAGTTCTCTTTCTTTTCTCTTCTCCCTTCTTCCTAGATACAATATAGAATTTGGACTAGTTATTCTCCAATGCTCCTTCTAGTCCTGACATTCCATGAAGTTTTAAACACCAATCTATCTGAACTAGTGCAGTTGGAAATGTATAAAGGATGCTAGCAGAGCCGGGGCTGTAAAGACGAGTATGGGGTTCCATGGACCTGTCACTACATTTTAAAAGTCAAAACTTCTATACAAGTAAAAGGCAATGATTTATTTGGCTAGAATTGTTTACCTTTGTTCAAGAAATGCAGACAAAGATAACCTGGGAACCAGGGTAGGAGAGGGGTCAGCTTGGGAGGGCAGTGCATCCACCTGTAATGTTGCTCATCATCTTGATTCACTCTCTTGGATTCTTCCAGGTTGCCAGTTCCATACTGCCCCATAGGATAAACATTCTTGGCTGGCTCATCCACCTATCTACCCACCTCCCACTGACAAAACCCCATGGCAAAGTAGGTGCTGGCAACAGGAAGTGGGGGCAGGAAATCAAAGACGGCTTTGTTCCAATCTCTCAGTGAATTGAATTCTAGCCTAAGGGGGCATAAAATAAATTTATAAGTATCTAGAATGTCTAGATTATAAGAGCCATGAGAAAACTGTGTAATAACGAGCTGTGAGTGTCCAGGTTCTCAGGGATCATTCAAAAGTAAAAGTTACAGGTGGTGCACAAGAGAACCATCTTGTTCAGGCCAACCTTAGCAAAAGGTGTAGTCCATCACTATCACTCTTTTAACTCCAAATTGAACCCAATGGACACCTACTGAATTGTCTGCCCGCCCACTTCCAGGCCCACGGGTATAGGAGGGGCATTTAGTTTCTGTACTCCACTCCCCCAGCCACAGTGGATTTATCCGGGCGTAGACCACTAACCCAGGGAATCTGAAAAGGGAGAGTCAATTCAACCTCTGAGGTAACACTGTGACATGTTTCACTTGTGTGGGCATATTTCAGCAAGCAACCTGAGATACAAACAAAGGAGACTAACAAATTTGTCAGTGAGAGAGGAAACTGGAGCAGAAGTACAAAGGCCAATATCTGTCCTACAGATGGAGGTGGAAGGCTTCCTGGACTCCCCACACTACAAGCCAACCTGAGGTCCAGAGCTACATTGCTGTCCTAGGTTCCTCAAGATGACATATCTCATTTCCTCCTAACAAATTCCCCTTTCTGTGTGGCTCTAGTCCAGCTGGTTTTGGTTACTTCTAACCAAGAGTGTTGACTGATATATACAGCATGCAGCAGTGGCCTTGACACAGCCCGAGCTACAAATTTCATTTTCCCTGGTAACCCAACTAGTATGTCTTTAGGGCTTTTTAAAGGGGGTCAGTGCACAGGTCTCCACATAGTTAGGAAAAAACCTATTCTCCAATGCTTCCCCCCAAAGCTAACGTGTTTAAAGCACTCTCACATATACTAATCTTAACCAATTGTTATAAAAGTTCTATGATATAGAGAAGGTATTCTCATTTTAAAGATGAAAATCCTGTGGCTCAGAGAAACAAAGTGTCTTGCTTGAGATTACATAGCTAGCAAATGGCAGATTCAGGTCATGAATCCAGGTCTCCTGACTTTAGGTTCCACGGGGTGTGCATTTGTTTTAAACTACATAAAAGTAGGCTGCCTCTCCATGGTGGAATTTCAAGCAGTACTAATAGACTGGTAGAGCAACATCTCATAGCACCTCCTTCTCTAGTCACCCCAAATATGAGATCAGCCCTCTTATTTCCACTTTAAGAATTTTGACTCTACTGATTAACATGTTTCCAGTTCCTGTGAAGAAGCAAACTAAGGAACAAGGATCTATTCTAGAATCCCAAAGACCCTGTTTGGCTGGATGAGTAGAAAATAATCTGTATTCACAGAGAAGCCTGTGTTCTGATCCTGCCTCTGATACTTACTTAAGGGTCTCACTAGCATGTTAATTTTGAGCAAGTCAATTAACCTCTCTGAATTTGTTTCCTAATTTGTAAAATGAGAATAAAACTTGTAATAACTCTTAGTACTGCCGAGGAGATTAAATGAAATAATAAGGCTGGGTTTGGTGGCTCACACCTATAATCTCAGTACTTTGGGAGGCCAAAGTGGGAGGATGGCTTGAGGCCAGGAGTTCACGACCAGCCTGGGCAATGTAATGAGACCCTGTCTCTACAAAAGAAAATTAAAAACAAAAAAAATTAGCTGGGCATGGTGGGGTATGACTATAGTCCCAGCTACTTGGGAGGCTAAGGTGGGAAGGTCACTTGAGCCCAGGAGTTCTAGGCTACAGTTCGATATGATTGTACCACTGCACTCCAGCCTGGGTGACAGAGGGAGACTCTGAGTCTAAAAAATACAAGGGAAAAAAAAAAGAATGAATGTGAAAAAACCTTATTTTTCTGAACTACAAATCGATCTACCTAAGGGTTTATTATTTACCTTCAGTTACAAATTTTGTGTAACACTGTGGTTTACAAAGCAGTGTAATTGTTCCAACTTATAATTTATGGTAAGATCAAGGCTGGCCAGACAAGGAGGCTGTTTCACAAAAAGCCATCTCCTGGGCTGGGCGCGGTGGCTCACGCCTGTAATCCTAGCTCTCTGGAAGGCCAAGGCGGGCAGATTGTTTGAGCTCAGGAGTTCGAAACCAGCCTGAGCAAGAGCGAGTCCCCGTCTCTACTAAAAATAGAAAGAAATTAATCAGACAACTAAAAATATATAGAAAAAATTAGCCGGGCATGGTGGCGCATGCCTGTAGTCCCAGCTACTCGGGAGGCTGAGGCAGAAAGATTGCTTGAGCCCAGGAGTTTGAGGTTGCTGTGAGCTAGGCTGACGCCATGGCACTCACTCTAGCCCGGGCAACAAAAGTGAGACTCTGTCTCAAAAAAAAAAACAAAAACAAACAAACAAAAAAAAGCCATCTCCTGGATCCTCCTGCCACAGGCCAAAATTTCATGATTGTAGCTTCATTTCTTTAAGTCATGACATTTTTCCATTTTCAAAACTATTAAAATACAAATACCTCCGTGAAGAGGCCAAACCATATACCCATCAACTAACACTTCAAGGAAATTAAATTTAACAGTGACAGCTATAAGACAGGAGGGACAAGGGACCCCAGGAGAACTGAAAGGCTCAGAGATGATGTAATTTCCTCAAACACCCCAATGTAATCCCTTGAGATAAACCTACCCAGAGTGCCTACCTGTTTTTGGCAGTGATGTATGACAAGATATTTTGATTGAAGAACTTCAGGATCAAGGGGATGCAGTTGGCAAATACCAAATGTTGTGATACATATTCAAACTGAATTAAAAGATCAAAGCAGAAAAAGGGGAGAATAGAAGGTATGCATGAAAAAAAAGAGAGGGAAGTACAAATCTAATATCCATTCATTCCTAAGAATATCCACTGTCCACTTGTGTTCTCAGTCTCCCTGTCTGGGGAATGGGAAATTTATCTTCAGCCAGTCCTTCCTATAAGGAGGCGGACAATCTGCAGTATGTTGCAAACTCCTGACTAAAAGCACAAAACAAGCAAGCCAGAAAGAAAATCCCACTCCAATAAGTAGAAACAATTACTGTGAGATTTGTTCCTAAGCCCAACGGGAAAGGAAGGCTCCCTGAGGGAACTGTTTTCCATTCCAAACCTCTGGCTCATGTTTCAAATGTGATTGATATAGCAGGGACAGGTGCAGCTTACTCCTGGTAACTGACGGCATATAGTAACCAAATGAACCACTGGAATGTGGGCTCCAGCTAGAGTCTGTCTGGTATACCATATTAGCCCCAGCACTTAGAATATCAGTATTTTAATGAATGAATGAATAAGAACTCTTCAGCAAACAGACATTACACTGAGAAGCCCAAGATGTCTTTGATGGGCTAAACACCAGTACGTGGGGGCTCCATTTTGTTCTCTTGAATCCAGATGGGGTTTGTATATAGGAAGACCTAACGGGGCAGATGGTCACAGAGTACGGTCATGGGGTTACGTTACCCATGATAGACTAAGGAGCACCAAACACAGTTTGTTTTCAGATCCAGAATCTAGTATGCTGGGATAGTACAGAAAAGGGGTTGAAAAAACAGAGAATTGTGGTGTTTTCCATCCTTGGCTCTTCCTGATCACCAAGAATTAGCCAAGGCAGCAAGCTAAGTTACCCTCTGTCCCTAGGTATAAGGTTAAAGGTGGGGAGTCAGCTTGCACTAAGACTACTTCCCTCTTCTGTTCATTAATTTCTCCCTGGAAGTCAATCCAGGGTATTTTCCAAAGCCCCAGAGAGAACAGCCAACACATACCCACTATCAACTGACAGAAAACCTTTTTCAGTTTGAGATGTGCCTGTAGCCCTGTCAGGATTTACTGACACACACTGGCAAGGCCCATCAAGCCACCCATCTTTCTGGCTATCAATCCATATACTGCCCACCAAGAGAAGCAGAAGTAAACACACATTCACAGCTCTCTGTTCTTTCTCCACTAGAAACACTATCTCCTACCCACCCCTACCCTCCCAGCCCTGCTGCTGTTCAGCAAACATTAGCAGAAGTGTGAGCACCCAGGACACCCTAACACACCCAAAGATGTCTTTGAATGTACTGAAGTGTTCAATGCTGTGTGTGGAAACTAAACAAATAAACAAAGTGAATGTACCAAAGTGGAGAAATACCCTGGTTGTTAGGGTAGGAGCCTCTTTGCACTCTGAGGACCTTCTCTTCCACCAGCAAACTTGATTCTGACTTCTTAGGAAGAAAATGGGATGGAGCTTCTAGGCAGGAATGAAAAGCCTTCCTCTTCTCCCCGTGGTCTCCCCATAGACAGAAAGCATCCATTCACTGCCCCCATCTTGTCCCTATATCTTGGCAAAGGCCACAGAACCAAGTCCAAACTCCTTAGCATGGCAAACAATGCTTTCATGGGAAAGCAGGTTCTTAATCTTTCTTAGCTTTGGTTTCCTCATCTATAAATCAGGCATTGAATAAGACTACCTTACAGGGTTGAGTGAATTAAATGAAGCCCCACCCAAGCTTAACAGGGTGCCAGGCACATTATAGGTACTCAATAATCATGTGCTATCATATATATTATAATCTGTTCCCTGCCAATCCCTCCAGCTTCATGTGTCACCAGGCAATCCCAAACTCCCCCTACCTCAGGCAGAACTCCAGCAACATTTAATTACCGTTTCCAAAGGTACTTTGCTCTCTTCCTTCTGGACTTTTGCATATTAGCTTTTCTGCTTGAAACGCTTCCTGTCTTCCTTCTCTAACAACTCCCATATCCTGGCTAACATCTGTTTCTTTAGGATTCCGGTTAGAAGTTACCTCTTCTCCACCCCAAGTTAGATTAGGTATTTCCATAGCAGCCAATGCTTATTCGTATCACAGCACTTGTCACTCTATAATGAGCTATTTATATATCTGTATCCTTTAGAAGATTTCAAGGCTCTTATGAGCCAGAACTGTGCCTTATTCAGAATTATATCTCAAATGTCAGAAAAGTGTTTCATACATAGAAAAGTATGGTCAACATACTTTTCTCCCCTTTTTGTGAAATGTTTGAATTCTGTCTTGCACTGTTTCAAAACTGGCTGGGCATCGTCCCAAGAAGCTAGAGATTCCTACCCACAACCCTGGGATAACATACAAAGGATACAGACATCTATACCATTCTAGGACTGTTTCTCACTATCCACTCCAAACCCCTACCCCAAGCAAATGCAACAGGTAGCTGGATCTCCTGAGTGAGGACAAAGAAAAGGCTGAAAGATGCTTAGCAGGACTACAAGGGCTCTTGCATCCCTCCTTTGGGAGACAGGGCCTAGAAAACACCTAAGACCTGTGGAGAAGCATTTCTGGATGCTCACCTGGTAAATATGGTTAAGTTTGAAGTGTTTGAGGAGTAGCAGGAGCAGGGTGGAGATACTTTTTACAATGATCTCCTTGTGCCTGTTCACATCGATGCCTAGCTTCATGCTCTGGAGAACAGTGATGCTACAATGGAGAGAGGAGGCATCAGTGCAGAGGGTGACCTTAGAAGCAGGCCTATAAGGACCCAAGTATTTGGGTATGATACAATACATACACGAGAACCAGAACTTGGGAAACTTGAACTTCTGTGCTAGGGAAACCTCCAAGAGTTCCCAATTATCAGCCTGTCTGGGGTAAGCTCCATTGATCTCTCTGTTTCTGTCTCTCTCCTTTGGCAAGCTCCCCTTGGCAATGTCCAACCACATACCTGGGCAGCCAGTTATTAGCACTAGCATTACCCTCCAGACCCTTAATTCTGAGCGAAAAAAAGAGCACAGCAGAGAGCCCTTCAGGGGAGAGGGGGTACTGGTGGGGGAGGGGAGATATCTTTGGAGACAATCCCTGTAAGTGTTAAGGTGGGGTGGGGATTAGCGAGACCCCGCAGACGAGATAGCTAGTATCTAGCAGCTGTCCAGTTGAAGCACTCACGGCATCTCCTCAGGCAGGACATCTGCCAGGATGTTGATAGAGTCTGTCTTAGCCTTGGAAGTGGGAGCTGCAGCCAGCAGAATCTTAAGCAGAGCGATCTGGGAAGTAGAAAATGAGAAATCCATCCCTCTCCATCCTACTCAGCAAGGGAGTGATTTTTCAACACCTCAACAGCCCTATGAAAATTGTTTTAAAGCCTTTCTCTAATTTCCTTCCTCAATGACCAAATCTCCCCAGCATCCAGAAGGACAAACGGGTACCCAGTCCTGAGAGGCCTGCCTGTGAGGCTAATGAGGGAGCCATAGGGAGCTCACTCTTAGGCTGCTCTGCTTCAAGTCTGCTCTTTCCAAAGGGGAGGATGGAAGGAGCAAAGCAGGAGGGACAGTGCATAGAAATAAGGTAGGAGGTATAAGCCCAACTTCTCCCACTCTTTTCCTTCCCAGACCATTGGCATCTTCCCCAGTCCCAGCCTGAGGCTATCTAGGACATGACAGACAGCAGCAGATCTCAGAGGAACTATGATACTTAGCTAAGATGAGGGTCCCCAATGTATCCTGTAAAGACTCTACATTATTTTCCATCCCTCCCAAAGAAGGACTAGGGAGAACAGCACCTTCAGAGGAGCCCTGAGGAGAGCTCAGAATTCTCATGTGTCAGAGAATGACTTGCCAAAGGGGCGAAGGCTCAGGAAATAGGCACAAATGATGGAAAGCTCAGCTTGAGATTGCTTTTAACTGTCTATTCCTTGCAGTAGAGAAGGGCAGCTCTGGCCTGGCCATCTCCTTACCATGTACTGAGGGAGGCTATACAGCATGCCCTGGTAGAGGACTTCACATGGTGTCTCTGGTACCACCTCTTCTCCCTATGGCAGGAAATACACAGTTTGTTCAGGCTACTTTCCAAGTGACCAAAGGCTACATTTTCTGGGTTGTGAGGGATGGCATGAAAAGAACACTAAGCTGGATAGACATAGGTTCCTAGCCTAGCTGTGTTAATGACTCACTGTATGATCTTGGATAAGTCACCTTCCTTCTCTGAGTCCTAATTTCCTCTTCAATAGGATCAGTGGGCTGGTCTGGATGACCTCTCAGGGCCCAGGACACTGGAACAGACACCCCACACAGAAGGACTTCCCATGGTGTCAATCTGAGGCCAACCGAGAGCTCTAGAATGCTATGTAAGCTTGGAAGGAGAGGTGGGTGGCTCAATAGTAGGGGTTAATAAGGAAGCTGGGTAACCTATGGCCTGGAGAGACAGGAAGGAACATTAGCAGGGAAGCTTTTAGGTGGATGGAAGGTTTTCTTCCCCTCTCCATTAGTCCCCACGACATACTTTCTCCTTTTTGACCAGCCCCCTCATGCACAACCATCTCTGTCCTTTTGAGGACCTCGACTAAGCCTTTTATCAGAGTGGGGAGGCAGGGTCCTCAGATGCTCAAGAGGTTTCTGTGGCCATTGTCATCTTTGACCGGTGCAGTCTCACTCCTCTCCCAACGTCCCTCTATTACAGGGCAAGGATCACTGTCAAGAGACTCTGAGGTAGGAAAGAATAACCAGGACCCGTCCATCCCACATAATTCAGCTGCTGCTCAAATGGACACAAGTCTTAGGTGGGCATTCACCAGAGCCTGGCAATCCTGGCATGTTTCCCTTCCTGTTCTCCGAAAGGCCTATTTCAGACCTTCCCTCTCTTCAAACAAACCCCTCTGCCCCACAGTCCCTAAACAGTTGCTGATCCTGCCTCACACTTCATGGAGAAAACAGAAGCAACCAGACAGGCACACTCTCATCTACTCGACCGAATCTACCAAAGAGTCTCTGCCTTCATTCTTGACATGAAGGATGAACAACCTGTGCTTCTAACAAAGGCCAATCTTCCACTTGTGCTCAGGATCCCACACCCATTCACTTTGTTGAATGCATCAGTCCTGCAATTATCCCCTCTCCTGGATCATTTCTTTTAGGACAAAAACATACTCTAGTATCTCTCAGCTATAAAACACCCTCCCTTGACCCCACATCCTCTATCAGCTATAATATCATTCCATCTCTTTCCTTTTCATCACAAAACGTTTACGTTGTCTACCTCCTTTTTTTTTTTTTTTTTTTTTTGAGACAGAGTCTCACTCTGTTGCCCAGGCTAGAGTGCCGTGGCATCAGCCTAGCTCACAGCAACCTCAAACTCCTGGGCTCAAGCAATCCTCCTGCCTCAGCCTCCCGAGTAGCTGGGACTACAGGCACGTGCCACCATGCCCGGCTAATTTTTTCTATATATTTTTAGCTGTCCAATTAATTTCTTTCTATTTTTTGGTAGAGACGGGGTCTCGCTCTTGCTCAGGCTGGTCTCGAACTCCTGAGCTCAAACGATCCACCTGCCTCAGCCTCCCAGAGTGCTAGGATTACAGGCGTGAGCCACCGCCCCCGGCCGTCTACCTCCTTTTTTGACATTCCCTTCAATGCACTCCAATTAGGCTTTCAGCCCCACTACTTCACTGGGGGTTGCTCTTATCAAGGTCACCAGTTATCTTCATGTTGCCAAATCCAGTGTGTACCTCAGTTCTTATCATAGGCTATCAGCAGAATTTGACCCAGTGGATCACTTCTCTTTTCTTGAAAGACTTTCTTTTCTTAGCTTTTATGATATCATAATCTCCTGGTTTTCCTGCCACCTCACTGTTTTTCTTACTCTTCTTTTCTGGCTCCTCTCCTTTCCTGACTTATGCCACCTTCAACATACTAGTGTGCCCCACGGTTTTGTCCTGGGTTCCATCCTCTTCTCTGTCTCCACTCCCTCCTTGGGTTATCTCAGCCATTTCTATGGCTTTTGATACTGTCAAGTTTATTTCTCAAAGCCAGCCCTCTCTCTAGAACTCTAGACTGGTATATCTCATTGCCTGAAGCTCCACATGGGTCTCTAATGGGTATCTAAACTTATGACCAAAACAGAATGCCTGATACTCCTCCCCATCTTGGCAAATGATAATTATTCTTGATTATTCTCTTTGCCTCTCTATCCACATCCAACTGAACTGCAAGTCTTGACAGCTATTCCTCTAAAATGTAAACCAAATGCATCTACTTTTCACTATCTTCACAATTACCACCCCATTCGAGGTCAGCATCATCTCTTACCTTGACTATTTTAAGAACTTCCTAATCTCCCTGCTTCCACTCTTTCCTGGTCCAGTCTTTACACAGCAGCCAATGTTTTAAAAACATAAATCAGATGTCACTCCCCTGCTTAAAATCTCCAAAGGCTTCCCTTTGTACTGTGAATCAACTTCAAGCTCTCTAGCTTTGCTTACACGCCCCCTGTACAGTGGCCCTGGGCCACCTCTCTGACTCTATCTCTAGGACCCCAGCCGTCACCCCTGTATGCTGGCCACACCAGTCTTCTTTTACTATCTCCACCACTCAGTCTGGGACTGAGGGGTGGCATGCTGTACCCTTGTTAAGGCTGTTCTCTCCACTTAGAACACTCATTCCCCTGATATTCCTATGGCTGGCTCCATGTACCTCAGATCTTGGCTTACATGTCAACTTTCTCAGAGTCAACCTACCCTGACTGCCCAAACTCAAGTAGTCTACTGATGCTTCTATCATGTCACCCTATTTAAGTTTTATTTGTTGTTATTTACCATTCTCTGATAGTCTCCTTTACTTTTTTGGTTTTTTATACCATGAAAGCAGGGACCTTGTCTTGCCTGGGACACAGTAAGAGCCCAATAAGCTGAATGAGTATATGTGATAGCACTGCAGACAGACTTCCTTCTGCCCTCCTCCTGTGTAGGACCCTCTTGACTCACCAAAGACATGGGGCACTTCTCCAGCTCCTCTTCATTCTTAATCTGCACATCTGCGATGGAGATATACTTGTGCTGGTGAAGATAAAAAAGACATCACCAAGGGCTGAGGGCCTCAGTCACATGTGTACCAGTCTCTTACTTAACTTTCCCAAAGACAAGGAAATGTTCTGCTTATGGGTCTGTCACTCTAAATAGACATGAACTCTTTGAAGGTAGGAGTCTTAGTCACCTCTGCATCATCAGCACTGGTCAAAGTGCTTCACACGCAGTGTTTCTGTTTATTCTATATTTCCACATTTGTTGAAAAGAAGCAAATATTTAAACATTTGCCTTCAAACAAAGTGCAAGGGGAAGCCAAGAACAAGCCCTGCCCCTGGGCTACTGCCCTGAGAGTTTTGTTGCATGTGCATGAATGCATGGAGTGATGACTCCATACCCTTTGTGCTCACACATACAATGGATATAGAGCAGATTCCTACTCAATCCTGGGCCTTTGGAAGTTAGTGGACCTATGGGCAAAGAGAAGTGAATGGAAAGGAAGCAAGGAGTAGGGAGAGAGAGAGAAAGATGGAAAGAGGGAAAAGGAATGAGAGGAAGAAAGGAGAACTTTTTATCTATCTGAATGTAGGAAACTGGGTAAGTAAAAAGAGACCTGAGTTTTCCTATTTGGCCAAAAAGCCTGCAGGGGAAATGCATAAGGTTCAGAAAGCATCTGGTATAAGAGCTCCACTCAGTATTCAGGACCCTGGTAATCTGACGCCTTGATGTCTCCCTACCCCTGAAGACTGAGAGCCCACTCTGGTCACCTGCTTTAGGGTCTTCACACTCTCATGGATGGGCCTGGGTAATCCAACCAAGGTATCTGTATCCCTGTGAAAAGCCAGACACACCAGATTGTAAGCTTCAAAAGTACAGAGAACTATTGATACCTCTTGGAGTCACATGGACCATGCCACTTTCAACATCTATCCCCAGCATCCTGGACCTTCCTCTGCAAGCTCCTGGGTCTCCCATCATCGCTTCAGAACACAAAAAGAACAATGGCACATAGAAGTGTTCCTGAAAATTAAGAGATTTGTATAATCTCTTGGGGACTCTCTTGGTGTGGGACTGGTATATTCCTACTTAAAAGGGTATATAGCCCAAGAACACTTTTGACAGTGAAAGCCCAGTAACAAAGCCTTCTCTATTTTGAAGAGGCCAGTGGGAAGGATTCAGGAGGGTGGGGAAATGGGAGCAGACTGGATCTGTTCTGACCATGTCTCTTCTTCACAGAATTTTAGCAGAATTTTGCATTAGAGCAGGAAGGGCCCCTAGGGACCATCTAATCCAAAACTCTCATGAGGAAATTAAGGCCCAAGAGGGAAATAACTTGTTGTTTAAGATCCTGCACCTGGTTAAGAACACAAAAGTTCTTTGAGGAAAGTGGAAGAAACCCAAGGAAAAAGATCCATTGAAAGCACCCAAAGTAGTCACTGAGAGTTGCCCACAGCCTGGTGGCTCTAGGTTGCATTATGACTATCAGGCAACATCCCTCATTCCAAGCCACCTGCTTCTCTGGCCCCCCAGGAACCACTCTATAGCCAGTTCTGACCATTTAGTCACTTACTGCCCCAAGGTGAATCCGATGAACTTGTTCCTGCTCATCTCCAAGAAGTGCTCAATGTCCTTCTGCCTGAGAGGATGGTGGACAGACCAATCCAGAGAAAGGAATAAAAGCAAACCTTGAGAGAGAGAACTTTTCTGGGCTCCTACCCCTCCAATAGGAGGACTGGAGCAGTTGGGGAAGATAGCAGTCAACAGAGGGAATTTTAAACCCAGGAGTTCTGCCAGACCAGCTTAATGAGCCTTGAATATATAGACTAGTCTACCCCGGGCCTTCAGTGACTGAAACCCCAAAGTGCAGGCTCCCTGCTATTAAACCTACCTGACCTTTGGGGCCCAAGGCAGGCCCTTGGGAAAGGCCACCCGCTCAGCAGAGAGGGGTGCCTGTGAGGGTGGAGGTGGTACCAGAGGGTCCTGCTCTAGCAGGTCCAACTCTCCATCCAAGGTTCGTTCTCCATCACCAGCAGATTCCTCTTCCTCCTCTGCGGCTGGCTCCTCAGTTTTGAAGAGATCCCTTTCATTGTAGATGTCCAGGCTGTCCTGCTTAGTGAGGAGTTGCTGGAGGGAGGAAGCAGGGAGGGATGATGTGCAGAGATCTCACCCTGGGTATCCTTGTCTGAAGCTGCCCCCTACCCATAGGCTTCTAGACTTCAGGGAATAAGAGTCAGAACCCAGCCCTTGTGAGAACATCCCATTGCCCACCCCAACCCTGCTGCCCCCATCGGGCCAAATACCAGGACAAGAAGTTCTCAGGCAACCATGCCAATGGCCAGGGAACAGAGCATAGATAATCCCAAAGTCATAGTCATTTAGCTTTCAGAAGGCACTGATGCCTTTTTTTTGCCAGCACTTTCCTTCCTAATTATGCTCTGCTTAGGTGAACATTCAATTAGTTTGCCTTCTGTGAGCACACACCAGCTGGCTGACTGAGGAAGAGGAGGACAGAAGCTTGCTGCCAGGCAGAGGGAAGCAAGTTTGGAATTTTAAATCTTGTCACAGAAAGAAAAAAAGATTGGACAGAAATAGGCCAAAAAGTTAACAGTGACTGTTTCTGGTTGTTAAGATTGTGGGTGATTTTTCTTTTCTCCCTTCATCACATTTTTATATTTGGTCCAAATTTTCTACAGTGAGTAAGCATTACTTTATAAAACAAAAAATAAAAGTTAAAAAAATCACACTGCAGATAATGTAGACTGGATTACTGAGCACAACTGTCTGGCCCTGTTGATGAACTAAAGTAGGTCAGGCAGGTGAGTTTGTGGGAGGGTGGTAAGGTTGCAGTGTAACTTGTAATTCTGACCTTTTCAGGACTGCAGACTACAGTCATGTGCTGCATAATGATGCTTCCATCAACAATGGACTGCATATACGATGGTAGACCCATAAGATTTTAACACTGTACCTTATCTAGGTTTGGATACACAAATACCATTGGGTCACAGTTGCATACAGTTCAGTAACCTGCTGTAAAGGTTTGCAGCCTAGGAGCAAAAGGCTATATGCCTAGGTGTGCAGTAGGTTCTACCACCTGGGTTTGTATAAGTACACTCTATGATGTTTGCAGTGACGAAATCACATAATGACACATATCTCAGAATGTATCCCTGTTGTTAAGCAACACACAAATGTATACTTAGAACCCTAATCAGTTTCTCTCAGATGTAAGCCTTTGGTTCCAGGGCCAGACAAGAGTGTGGCTAGCTCAGAGTTAATGTTCTTGCTGCCACAAAAAAGGTAAAGTGCCTCACCCCAGGCACACAGCTTTGCTGGGAGCCCTGTTCAGGTGCCCTGGCTCCTGATCCTCCTGTCTCCAGGATTATACCTGTTGTTATACTGTTGTTTAGAATGCTAAGGAACTCCAGGCACTGATGTCTATGCCAAGGTAGCAAGACATGGCTATATGGTGTGATATCACGGTGTTACATCAGGATAGCTCGAGGTCTGATGGGGCTAGGGGAGGGGCCAAAGTATAGACTCTAAGGTTTCAGGTTGTTCACAGGGCCAACTTGGGGCAGGATGAGCCATATCATTTACTGCCCTTTCCTATCACATTCAGAATAGCTTAAAATCTTGATTTTTGGCTAGTTTCACATCACCACTGTCTACTTTAGTACATACCCTTCGAGAACCACGGCGGCCTCGCAGCTTCGAGGGTGGTGGCGCCAGCTGAGACTCCCCCAGGTCGAGAGTGTAAGAGGGTGGGGAGGCAGCACGCATGCTCTTCACCACCTGGATACTGTCCTCAGCCAGTGGAGGCAGGCCCAGTTCTGCCCGCTTCTGTATTTTGAGAGCCTGTAGATGCTCAAATCCACCAAGGGTAAACTAAGGAGGAAACAGGAAAGGGGCAGAGAAGAGAGAGGAAGGAAGGAAAGTCAGAGAGAGTAAAGTGAGGGAAACATGGATGAAAGAAAAAGAGCCATAACCTGTAATCCCCTCAGATCTTCTCCTTAATAAGGAAGGGGTAAATGTCGTTGCCATCCCCAGTCTGAGGAACTCGGGTGTCTGGATAAAACATTATTTACTGACCCACACTGGGAAACATCACCAGAAGTTAGAAAAGGGACTCCTGAGGGCCTGCGCTGAAAAAATAGGAAACCATCTCCCTTTTTAAGGATCACATCCAGATGCTATAAACGCCAGAGTCACTCAATTGCCTCTGCAGTCAAGAGGCAGTTTCCCCTATGAGGCCTGCCTGGAGGGTATGATCTTCAGCCAGCCCTGTGGGATGGGAGCCAGAGATGAAGGATCAGATTGAATAATTAGTATCAAATTGAAACCATATACTTATAAGGACTTCATTTTTTTAAAAAAGCAAATCCTCTATTTATCTGGAAGGAGGGCAGCCACTAACCCCAGCATTTTACAGCTAGAGAAACTGAGGCACAGGCAGTTGCCCAAAGTTCCTCAGTATCAGCAGAGCCCAGATCTCTCAACTTTCAGCCAGTGTTCTTTCCCTGAAACATTGGCTCTATCAGCAGAAGGGGGCCATTGACACCCTAACTCATGGAGCAGTATCTCCCATCCATTCAATAGAAAGGGGAAATCTGCCCTGGCATAGAACACCTGATGCCTCTAGGACAGACTTTTTGCCCCTCCTCATTAGCTATTGGCTAATGGCTACCCTATTCTGCTGCCTAGCTCCAGCCTCCTGGAATCAGACTAGAAGAAACTGAGGTGGCACAGGGCATTGCTGCTCTGATGAGATGGGAGTGGGGAGGATCAGCCACTCACCATGACCACCTTCCAGAGCAGGAGCAGGACCTTCTTTATGGGGAAGTGGGGAGCCAGGCCACTGCAGAACTTGGTAACCATGGAGAAGAGCAGAAGGGCAAAAGGCTCCTCATTATGCATGGAGAAGCCTGGGGATGTGGAGAGAGGTGAGTGAGAAAGTGAAGATGAGGCAGTTAAAACCCTGCCCCTATAACCCTGATTCTGGGCACCCTGAGGAAGGCACTCACCTCCCCAGAAGAATTCTAGAGTACTTGGTCCTGAGAAGGAGGTTTAGAAAGCCCCAGAGGGAAGCCCCTCAAGGGCAGAAAGGGAGGCCATGAAGGTAAAATGGCTTAGAAGTAACAGTAATGAAGATGTTGCTTTCTGGCTGAAAGACCCAATGAATTTCACTTTCCCACATCAATAATATATTTTTAAAATCTCACAGGCCTACATATCCTATCCCTGTCAGATGACACCAGCTTACGTTTGAACAGAACTCAGTTTTCAAGGTGATTCAACTCATTTTTTCATGTGGGATTCATGATGGATGGGAGAGAGGTGGCTATCCCCATTTACAACCAAGGAAACCCAGCACAGAGGAGTTACATGGCTGGTCCTAGCTCACAGATAAGGGGAGCAATCAAGCCCAGCCCTCATGCCTGCCATGCAGTATCTCTGTCCTAAAAGAATGTTAATTAAAAAAAAAAAAGAAAAAGGACAGTTTGCCTCTCCTAGGCAGATGCTCTGTTTCCCCTCCACCATCAAGCACCCCATCCCTACCTTCCTCAAGTGCCGTTTCTTACTCAATTCAGTGCGGAAGGTCTCCCGGGCTGTCCTCCACCCACAGGGGTCTGTCTCTCGCTCCAGGCGGATGTTTTCCACCATTAGGTACATGACACTCAGCAGCACTCTGGGGTTACAGAAGGGTCACAAGAGGTTCCCAAGGCAGTTACCAGCCCATAGTCAGAGACCTCAGGGATGGTCTCTGTGGGAGCCCAAACCAGTGAGATTAGCTAGAGGGCAACTTCCTAGTGGTCTGAGCCATCTGGGATATGAGGAAAGGGTAACCCAGTCCTAATAATCCCCCTGTTCCAAGCCCATATTCAGCCCCACTCACCGGAGCTCTGTGCTATCGGCGATGGAGACAGCTGGTTTCCGAAGGGCACTGCTACAGGCCTGACTGTTACTGCCAGGGTGGGGTAGAGTGGAAAGAGGGAGAGAATGGGAACCCATGAGGCCTCTTTTCTCTCTGTGCTCTCACCTATCTGCACATAAACATGAGTATCTGCCATTCCCTGGCTATGCAGCCACTAACAAAACTGGTCTAAGATAAAGGAGCCCACAGCAAACCCTCATCTGTGGTGAAGACAGGCAGGGGCAGGGTCTGTGGTATCTACTCCTCTTGCAATCTCCACAATACTTTGTACTGTGCTGGATAAAAAACAGATGCTAAGCAATACCTGATGAATAATAAGCAGATTTCACCCTATCTAAAACTCCTGGGTGATGGGCAGGAGACAGAACAAGGGGTCATTATAGCAGTGTCAGCAGATGAGGCCATCTCTAGAGCTATAACCCATGAGGGAAAGAATTAGGCACTATGACAAGATTTGGTCCTGTTCTTCTTGTGTCATGCTCTTAGGTAGAACAGTTTCTCTCATGAATTCCAGAGTTAGGCTTAGAATGAGCTTAAAATGTGCTTGAATAAAAAGGGAACCCACCCATGACAGGCCCCTGAAGCCCAGGATTCAGACTGTAAGTGGGGCAGAAACTGCTGCTGAGCCCAACTCAAGGAGGGAGAACAGAAGATCAGGGAACATGGCCAGATGGAGGGGGACCATCAACAAGCTTTGGGCTGAGGTGTGAGTAAACTCAGCTCCCCACAGGGGTCTCTATAGTGAGGGAACCAGCACAGAACATGAGGCCCTTTCAAGGAAGGGGGGTGTCTAGGCCAACTCTCCCCTAAGGTTTCTCACTCGATTTCCATGTGAAGTAGCTCCAAGAAGGCCGAGAAGGTCCCCATCTGATACAGCAAGAAGCAGTTGTACCTGGACCAGTGTAGCACATCGACCTCTGAATCACATTCCCCAAAAGTGCCTAAAGGACCAGACAGTTGCCACAGGGGTTGAGGGGGAGCGATATCTCAGTTCTTTCCACCCCGTCCCATGATCTTAAGACTTTTCTGTAACACCCTGCCCAATAATTAGGCTGGCAGATGTATGGCAGCCCCCAAGAACTTCCTGGAATGAGTCAGGGGAGAGGAGAGGCAGTCTCCAGGGTTAAATCCAATGTACTCAACAATGGTCTGTCTTAAGTGTGGGATCCCCCAGAAGCAGATCTTGAACTAAGTAAGGATCCAAGTGCAAGGAGTTTATTTGGGAATTAATCCCAGGAATCACCAGTAGAGAAGCAGGAAAATGAGATAGGGAAGAAAAGGCAGCCAAAAGAGTTCAGTGTTAGGGGAAGCTCTGAAACAGTATAAAGCATATATCTCAGAGTTATCCCATACAAGAAAGGTGAGATAGTTGGGCTATCCATCCACTAACTCCTGTCACTGGAAGAGGGGTGCTAAACTAGGGAGCACATTAATTACCTACATCTCCTGGCTTCCCTGTGTGGGCTGCAACCCTCAGGGGAAAAAAAAAAAGGTACTGGCAGTTGAAAGTTGGCCAGAGCACCAGACCCGCAGGTATGGGTGGGTACTGCCTTATTTGCTACAGTTTTACCTTCACCCAGTGTCCACACTCTTTCCTCTCCATTTATTTTTTTTCTTTTACAATTTTTTTTAGCTCTCAACTAGATGGTTCTGCCAACCATCCTCATATTTATGATCTCAGGGCTTATTTTCACTATGCCAGCTAGGCTATCTCATTTCCCTTTCTACACCTGGCTAACAGGTTTCTTCTGGGAAGCTTTCCCCAATTAATCTCATTTAATTGTGATCATTTCCAAATTAGTCACAGCATCCACTCCTGCTGCTGTGTTGGCTTGAACCTTCAAAATGCCAACAAGAAACAACACAGAGGGTCCATGTGTGAGTCTGTAACACTCCTCTATATCTCCTCAGGTTGGGAGCCAGGCCACAGCTGATGAAAGAAGTCTCCATCCTCAGCTGGTGGTACATGGTCAGCTCTGGCCACACTGACCTCCTTACTAGTATTCACATATGATTACAGCTCAGGTTAGGGGAAAAAAGAACACTATAAAGAATCCTGCCATGACTGGTAAGGTAAAGGCAGATCCCAAGGGATCCAGAACAGCCCTCAACACCATCTCCTCATCTTCCTTATAAGCACAGGTTACTCCTAGCACCTGATAAGTTCTGTCCTTGAGAGACAAGGGACTTTGCCTTCCCTGCATAGCCTGCCTGAACCCAGTCCTCATAATGCCACTTCCCTCTCCAGCCTCCCACTCTCGCGAGCTAGCAGGGGTGGTCACTCACCTTGGGCCAGATAGAGAACAGCCCGGGCCACCTTCAGCCGCCGCTCCTTACTGACCACCTCCAGCCGGTCCAGGAGTCCCATTACATAGGTCTTTTGAGCATCTTCCTCCAACTCTAGCCATTCCTTGCCCTGCACTGGGGATAGAAGGCCATACACATCCAGTGTCAGCCACCGCCATCCTTCCTGGAAAGGCTCCTGATACTATATCCACCTCTAATCTCAACCCCCAACAAATTCTTCCCTCCAAAAGCTTTCCTTATTTAACTGAGAAAGAACAAGGGATGGGAAACTAAAGGACCAAAAATGTTCTGGCTTGAACCCACTCTATAGTCTCATCTTCAACATCCCCTTTTTTTCCCCACATACAGCCTATATTGTCCTGTCTCTCTGCATATCCAATTCCTAGTCATCCTTATAAGCCCAATACAAAATAACTTCTTTCCCACTAATGCTACAGCCAAAAGCTCTGCTGCCAAGACACTTTTTTACTTTTCCATGATACTTAGTATTTTCCTCTTGGCCTCAGCTAGTTTCATGATGTACACATCTCCCCTCTGCTCCCAGACTATAACCTCTTTGTAGAAGTTGCTTTTCACCCCTGCCTCCTGCATCTCTGACACAGAAGATACTCACCACACATTTGTTGAATTGAAAATTGAATTGCCACAGAACAAGGAAGGAAATGAAGGTCTGAGAATGTCGTGGTGTGGCCACATAAAATTACTATTGAGAGTGGGGCAGAGTTGGAGGCAGGGGTTGAACATTAAGGTCAAGGGTTCTGTTAGGCTCCAGCAGGGCACCAGCCCAGCCTCACCTCACCATCCCTCTGCTCTCCTGCCTCTTTACACCAGGGAAAGGAACCCAGCTCAGGCTTCTTTTGCTTCCCATGGCCTCTCCACTCAAGATACAGAGAACCCTGTATCCCATATGCAAGAAGAGAAGGGTATATGGTTATGGAGGGGATAAAGGAACATACTTTGTTTTAGCCTTTTACTAGGTCAGGCTGGGATATCATGGGAGAGAAAAAGAAGGACTCTATGAGTAAAGATCTGGGATCACCTTGAGTCTTGAAATCTTCTTCAAAGCACCTCCTGTTATTGGTGAATTCCAGGTTCTCAGTGTAGCTATACAATTCTGCAGCAGGAAAGACATAACAGTCACATTCAGGAGATCCTTAAAGAAGGGGATTGGGGTAGAGAGGGTGGCATGAAAGAGCTGAAGCTTCCAACACATTCCTGTGTCCAATTCAATCCAAAGCCAGCTTCCTCCCTTTCAGAGCAGTTAAAAATAGCCACTTGTGTCCCTGGGTGATTAAACCATCAAACCTGTCCTCCTCCTGCCAGCTGGCTGCTACAGCAGAGAAGGCAGCCTTCAACATTCAGTGAGGGCCAAGAGGAGGGCTGGAGCACAGAGAGCTTAATGTCATCAACTCCTGTTTCTCAGGGCTGCAACTTCTGGTTCGTCAGTCTAGACTGGGACTATCCTATGTCTAGGGGAGAGGAGAGAAACAAAACTCCTGAAATTTAGAGGCAAGATCCTTGTGCTGTTCAGGAAGCCAGGGCAAAAGCTGAAAAGTAAGTGTTAGATGGCTCTTCAGGGTTGGAGCCAGTTCATTCTCTCCCTGCTGAGTTTACTCAAAGGGTGTATAAGTTTAGGTTCCTGCCCATAGCAGAGGCTGCATAAAACCATGTAGAGAACAGATATAGTTGCCAAAGGGCTGCCTGTGCCCAGGAAAAGCTAACTTTGCTGACCGCAGCCTCTCAATACAAAATGCAGAAAGCCTATGAGAAATAAAAATGTCGTTTCCTACACCACCACCACCCCAGAACATTTTATCTGCACCCTGATGTTACAGAAGATGAATTGAAATAGAAAAGTCAATAGGTGACAGAAAAGATTTCCTCAAAATCTCTTTTCCACACCTGAACCCCTTACTGGAAATTTAACTAGGTCACAGATAATTCTCAAAGCAAGAGAAATTCACGTGTTCCAGCCAGATGTCTAATGGTTGAGAAACATCTTGTCTGGGAGCCAGGGCTTTTGAGTCCTGAGTTCCAGAATCTGGGAATGACCAGAAACAAATCCCATCTCTGAATCTTAAATTCTTCAGTCGTTAGTGTAGAATGTGTGTATATATATTTTTAAGAGGTACCACAAACCCAGTCAGAAAAGTGAGCAAGGCTCTGAGGTACTGACTTTTGGTTTTGTTCTTTTTATTTTATTTTTAAATTTTAGATTATGAATTTTCATATACAGGTAAGTATGGAATAGTACATTTAAGACACTTGTGTGTCTTCAACCCAGATTATACAAATGTTAGCATTTGTCATATCTGCTTCAGACTGTTCCACAGTCTATTTTTATTCCCCTTTCTAGAGCTATCCCCTATAATGAAATTGGTATGTATCCTTCACGTGCCTATTTTTATACTTTTACTACATACGTATGTGCCTGTAAACAATATATGATATTGTTTTGTTTTAAAAATTTTTATCAAAGCAGTATAAATTCCTTGGTCACTGCTTCCTTTCCTCAACTTTGTTTTTAACATTTATTGATACTGAAGCACATTGATATAGATTATTTTAATGGTTATACAGTAGCCTACCGGGCTAATATGCTATCCATTCCCTTACTGATGGGCATTTATTTTGTTTTCAATTTTTCACAATGATAAACAAGCCCGCAATAAACATCTTTGTACATTTTCTTGTGCCCAAGTATAAGTTTCTTTTGAGCATAACATCTAGGAATAGAATTGCTGGGTCACAATATGTATACATCTTCAACTTTAGATATGACCAAACGGCTTTCCAATTTTATACTCTGCTCCCCCATGCCTAACAGTGTATAAAAGTATTCATTTCTCTGTACCCTCACCAACCCCAGGCTTTAAATTTTGCAATCTGATGATTGTGAAATAATATGTTATTCTTTTAATTTGCTTTTCCCCACTTACTAATGAAGTTCAATATCTTTTCATACATTTAATGACCACTTGGTTTTCCCTTCTATGAATTCCTATTCATATTCTTTGCCCACTTCTCTATTGGGTTGTTCATCTCATCCTCTTCTCTCTCTTTCTCTATCTCTCTCTCTAAATATATATATATATTTTCATATTCTGGGATCTAATTCTTTGTTGGTTATTAAACTTAGCTCTCTATTTCTGTCACTCATCACTAAATTTATTCACTTGTGCTTATTCACAAGAACTTCTTTTAAAATGTTTGTCTCTTTTCTCTGAAAAAGCATGTCTCAAAGTGACACTTCCATGTGACAGAATATTTAACTTTCACACCATCTCCACCCAAAGCTCATTTATTAATAACTGGCATTCATAGCACATGTAACACGGAGGCCCTTACAATGAGGAGATCACGTTTACCCTAAGCTAAAAAGCCAGACACAGAGAAGCAGCCCAGCCCTGAAAGAAAAATAGAATTACTTAAGCCCAACTCAGAAACATCCAAGCAGAACTCCACTCTAATGGATGCAGGTGACACATCCATCCAGCCTTGCTTGGCTGGCCAGTTGTCTATAGAGTTTTTCCTCAGACATTGCTGAGATTTTAATAAGGGGCAGGTGTTAGGGGAGGGGGAAAGATGGAGGTAGAGGAGACAAAGGAGAGAGAGATGGAATGAGATAGAGGGTGGGAGAAAGAAGCGGCCAGGCAAAGATATGGATGACAGTAAGAGAAAGAGAGAAAGAATAGGGAGAAGATGGAGAGAAAATTGATTTGAGAGTGCACCAAAAGAGAATAAAGAAGGGTGATCAGGAAAGAGAGATAGAATAGAATGGAAGAACAATGAATACCATAGCCAAGCAGAGTCCACAGAAGGAAATGTGAAAGCAAACAAAGAGATATTTACCACTGGAAGGTGGAGAGAAAAAGGAATGTGGAAAACAGTCTTTGTTTTAATAGCCACTTGCTGAGAACAGACAAGCCGCCAGGGGAGATCACAGGCCCCTTCCCTCTCCTCCTGGCCATTCCTCCACTAACTGCTGATCCAACTACCTCATACCTGACAATTCTGCTGCGTGCCCATCTGCATCTCCATACTCAAACTCCAGAGTGGGGCAGTCCACAGAGCCCTGTAATGAGAAATTTTTCTGGTAACTGAGGTAACTTGGGAAAAGGGGCTGCCAAGGAAAGATTATACCCTTATTTCATCTTCTTCCCCTCTTGGAGGCCAATGTTAGATCAGGGAGGCAGCTAGGAGAGTTCTATTTTTGGGCCTTTCATCCCAGAGGTACCCTCATCCAAGCCAAGACTTGAGGCTCATTGTGGGGAGAGGCTGAGGATTCCTATATAGAATCAGAAAGTCTGGGTAAAGGGCAGGATCCCAAACAGATATGAAAGCTACCATCTGTGCCCACATCTAATTTACATAAACACAGACCAGAGGAACATCTAGCTGATCTCTACAAAAATGAGACAGACAAAAACAAAAGAGAACTGGATTCTAGCCTTAGTTCTGTCATCAACTACATGATATGGGGCAAGTCTCATACTGTGGATCATAGTTTCTCATCTATAAAAAGAGGTTCTTCAGCTCTAATATTTGATGACTTTAGGATTGTCATATAAGGTACCATTTCCACTCCAAGTTGTAGATAAGGGTAGATTTCCTACGATGTTGTATGTATAAACTTACAATCCTATTAAAATATTTTTAATATAATCCCATTTTCTAACTTCTTTAAGCATTTTGGGGTATTTCCTTCCAGTGTAAGTTAATACATATGAATATTTAAAATTCTCAATCTCAGCTCTATCATATACTGTGTTATCTTAGGCAAGTTAACCTCTCTGCCTCAGTGTGGTATAAAAAATATATTGATCTTTGCCCCTGGTTCCTGGCACAGAGCTCCTGAAACCCTTAAAATTTCCTGAGTGATAGGAGTATCTGTTAGTATATATTAATAATGAACCCTTGTCAACCATATCAGAATTTATGCTAATGAGGTGATTCATGGTGAGAAAGACCAAGGTCTTGATTTGAGGGCTTAACTGTCAGTAGCACCCCCACTTCCAGGGAGGGGAGGGGAACTAGAGATTGAGTTTAGTCACATGGCCAGTGGTTTAATCATGCCTAAGTAATGAAATCCCATACGAAAACCCAGAAATGGCTAAGCTCAGGCAGCTTTTGAGTTGGTGAACAAGCAGATGTGCTAGGAGGGTGGCGCCCCAGAAGGGTATGGAAGCTCTGCACCACCTCAGCCCCATACTTTGTCCTATGCATCTCTTCCATTCGGCTGTTCCCAAGTGGTATCCTTTATAATAAAACTGCAATCATAAGTACATGCTTTCCTGAGTTCTATGAGTCATTCTAGCAAATTATGGAACCTTAATTTGTAGTTGGCCAGGTGGAAGTGCGTTTGGCCAAGACCCCACATGTGGCTGAGGTCTATCAAAAGTGGGGGCAGCCTCGTAAGACTGAGCTCTTAACTTGTGGGGTCTGTGTTCACTCTGGGTAGCTAGTGTCAGAATTAAATTGAACTGTAGGACATCCAAGGAGTTGTTGGAAAATGATGTGCTCAGTTTTCTCATCTGTAAAAGAGGATAATAATAGGACTTACTTCATAGGGTCATTGTAAGAACTGAAAGCGTTAATACAGGAAAGGCACTCAGCACACCACCTAGCACTTGGCAGCACTATTTGGGTGGTTACCTTACTTACAATTTTAATATTATATTATAAAGATATTCTTCTCATATTATTATGACTATCACTTTAAATTGTTGAATAAGTGGATAGTTATTTATTGGTTTACTTAACCAGTTACCTATTGTTGAACATTTAAGTTGTTTTTAATTTTTCTTTATTATATGCTTGAAGCTATAATACACTTATACACTTTTTACATTTAGGATCTTTCCTAAGGATAAATTTTCATAAAGGGAATTAATAAATCAAATCTTATGAATATTTTTATGGCTCTTTGTATGGCTCATGATGAGTTGTTTCTCAAAAACATTATATCAATTTATACTGCCAGCAAGTCAAATCATGTTTAAATCCACTATAGCAAAAATTTTCAAACTGTTGGATTATAGGGACCAGTAGGGAAAAAAGAAGGTGGAGGGTGGGGAATGACATAAGGTTGTTGTTGTTTTATTCAGGTAAGTAGGGACTTTAAAAAGCCTTTTTAAAAATATATATA